AACGTTGACGAGGTCCAAAAGAGAGTTCTTGCTGAAATCCTATCGAGGAATGCCAATGTTGAGTACTTGCAGCGTCATAATCTCAACGGTCACACTGATAGAGAGACGTTCAAGAAAATCATACCTGTCATCACCTACGAAGATATTCAGCCTGATATCAACCGTATAGCGGATGGTGATAAATCTCCAATCCTCTGCTCCCAACCCATCTCTGAATTCTTGACAAGGTTAGTCCTTTTCTTTTGCTTTACTGTGTGCTTGCCTGAGCCGAGGGTCTCTGGAAACAGCTTCTCTACCTGCATAAGGTAGGAGTAAGGTCCGCGTACACACTACTCTCCCCATACCCCACATGTGGGAATATACTGGGGATGTTGTTGTTGTTGTTTTAAGTCCTTTTCTTTTATTCTGACAGAAAATGTGCATCCCTATGTGAACCCTTTTGTCTTTAAATTTTGCTAAAGGGCAATTTTTATGTGCAGTTCTGGGACGTCCGGAGGGGAGAGAAAGTTGATGCCGATAATAGAGGAAGATTTTGGGAGGAGATCACAGCTTTACAGCCTTATGATATCAGTGGTGAGCCAATCTGTTCCAGATTTGGAAAAGGGCAAAGGAATGTATTTCATGTTCGTAAAATCTGAAGCCAAGACCCCAGGAGGATTATTAGCTCGCCCTGTTTTAACTAGTATTTTCAAGAGGCCTCATTTCCACAACAACCGTCTCGACCCCTACTCAAACCACACCAGTCCAACTGAGACTATTCTCTGCCTAGACTCTTATCAGAGCATGTACTCCCAAATGCTTTGTGGCCTCTGCCAAAACAAAGAAGTCCTACGTGTAGGTGCCGTGTTTGCATCCGCCTTCATCCGTGCTATGCGATTCTTGGAGGAGCACTGGTCTCTACTTTGTAACGATATCCGAACTGGAACCATTAACGCACAAATTACTGATCCCTCAGTGAGAGAAGCAGTGATGAAAATCCTAAAACCTGACCCAGAGTTGGCTGATTTTATTGAGGCTGAATGCAGCAAAAGTTCATGGCAAGGGATTGTCACTAGGCTGTGGCCTAATACCAAGTATGTGGACGTTGTCGTCACTGGAACCATGTCACAATATATATCAACCCTTGAGTATTATAGCAGTAGCCTCCCTCTTGTCAGTACCACGTATGCTTCTTCGGAATGTTCCTTTGGAATCAACTTGAACCCGCTTTGTAAACCCAGTGAAGTCTCTTACACGCTAATTCCCACCATGGGCTATTTTGAGTTCTTACCAATTCACAGAATCAATAACGAAGTCAAAGACTCTATCCCCATGTCCGAGTCGCAAAATGAGAAAGAACAACAACAATTAGTCGATCTGGTTGATGTCAAGATTGGGCAGGAGTACGAGCTTGTTGTTACCACATATTCTGGTACTTTCAAACACCAAATAAAATGCTCGACGCATACTCTTTGTTCCATTATCTGTCCAACCATTCTTCTAATGCTTAAAATATCTTGAAATTTGTACCATTTCAGGACTCTATAGATACAGGGTGGGTGATGTGCTTCGGGTTGCTGGATACAAGAATAACGCACCTCAATTCAACTTTGTATGCCGGGAAAATGTAATCTTGAGCATTGATTCCGACAAGACTGATGAAGTTGAGCTACAAAATGCAGTGAAACATGCAGTGAGCAATCTGATGCCATTCGATGCACATGTAACCGAGTACGCAAGCTATGCTGATACTACCACCATTCCCGGCCACTACGTCCTATTTTGGGAGCTGAGAGTGAATGGCTCTACCCCAGTCCCTCCTTCAGTGTTCGAAAACTGTTGCCTCAGCATTGAAGAATCTCTAAACAGCGTCTACCGCCAGGGCCGTGCATCTGACAAATCTATCGGGCCTCTGGAAATCAGGATAGTTGAAATTGGAACTTTCGACAAACTCATGGACTATTGCATTAGTTTAGGTGCTTCCATAAACCAATACAAGACACCACGGTGTGTGAAATTGACACCCCTTATTGAGCTATTGAATTCGAGGGTAGTGTCCAGCCACTTCAGTCAAACATGTCCAAATTGGATTCCTGGCCACAAGCAATGGAACAACATGAATTGAATAGCCAATTTCGATTTCTTCTACTGGTAGTTTCTTTCCCTATGCAGAAAAGAACAACTATCTTTGTAAATTATTATAGCATTGGAAAAGAGTGAAACCTGGTATACCTTATCTATATTAATGCTTCAGTTTAGAACTTTTTTTATCTCCTTTCTCTTCTATTTTCCTGAAATAAATGTCTGCCTTTCGGACAAATCTTTAAACTGGCCAAAACAATATGCTCATTTTAAAATAATAAAAAAAATAATTTAACTCTGTCAGGCCATAAATATTTCACATTCTATGTCCAATCTTGTGAAGTAATAGTGATCGTGATTCTCAATCAACATTCTAAATTGTGATCTGTATGCTATATAAGACACTGCATATTTCGGATTAAGCCCAGCATAATCCACAATTTTTGAATTTTAACTTAAAATGATTCTATTTAATTTTCATGAAGCACTAATACACCACAATCATTGACAAAGTGGAAACAAAGAGGAAATAGAGAGAAACTTCATTACAGTGGTCTTTATCTTCAACGATTTCAGTTAGGAACTGATGAACAGTTACTTGAAAAGACTACTTCGATGTGAATTCGCCGGCGCCGGCGCTTTTTCTTCCGCCGCCGTTTACGTTTCTTACTGCCGAAGAAATTTCGGAACTCGTTTGGTCCAGCTTCTCGCTGAAGGGATGACAGGAATCAAAGTGAAATGATGATATACTATGTGACGATTTGCTTCATTGACGGTGAGGAGAGAGGATTAGAAAAGTGTACGATGATATATCCCGTCATTTTGATTCGCCATTGCAGCTGAGTTAACTCGCATCTAAAATTGCGATTTATAAGTCGCATGATAGATTGCGTACGTCGCATTCAGCTATTCGATGTATAACTCCAGTCGGAAATAACGATTGTAAATCCAATTAGAGGGTGTTTGGCTAAGCTTATAAGCTGGTCAAACTGACTTATAAGCATTTTTTGGCTTATTTTCGCGTTTGGTAAAATAAAAAGTGCTTATAAGCCAAAAAATAAGCCAAAAGCCATAAGTTGGTCTCCCCAACTTATCAAAATTTCAGCTTATAAGCACTTTAGGTTTGACCAAAATATTTATTATTTTATCCCTAAAATACTTCTTTTTAGAACAAAACTCTTCGTATACCCAGTTCTTCAGCTGCTTATTATTAATTTCAGCACTTTTATCCAAACACGTAACTGCTTATTTTTTAAATCAGCTTCAGCACTTAAAAGTGCTTTTCAGCACCTAATACTTATCAGCTACTCTAAATCAGCTAAGCCAAACGGGCTCTAAGCTTATAAGCTGGTCAAAAGCCAAACGGGCTCTAAGCTTATAAGCTGGTCAAAGTAGCTTCTAAGCACTTTTCGGCTTATCTACGCGTTTGGTAAAGTTAAAAGTGCTTATAAGTAAAAAATAAGCTAAAAGCCATAAGCTTTTTTATTATTTTATCCTTAAAATTTTTTTTTTTAGAACAAAACTCTTACATCAATACTCACTGTCACAAGTATTGTTTCAACAAAACTCTTAACTATTTAAGATAAGCAAATTCTCTATTCATTTGCATATTTATATTTATGTGATTGTGTATTAATCTTTGAACTGTATGTAATAAATGAGGACATATTAAATTTTTGGTGCATTGCTTTCTAAGTGTTGTGATGATGAAGACAGAGTTTGTTTCTCTTCAAATATTTATTTAGGTTTATTTTTTACTTAGAAAATTTTGTCAATTTATTAATTATTATAACTTATGATTATATGCTTATCATAAAATAAATTTTATTTATCATAAAAGTTTTCTTATCTAAGCACGGTTGTATTTAAAATAAAATGATAAATAGAATATTTTGTATTTGAATCGATATGGAATTTAAAATTTTGAAGAAATTATGCCCTTATAAGTGTAAAACAGTTCTAAGGTTATTTAAGTCATTTTAACAGAAAAAGAGCTTATCACCACTTTTTTCTCAAATACTGCAGCATCTTATTATCAATTTCAGCACTTGTATCCAAACACGTAACTGCTTATTTATTAAATCAGTTTCAGCACTTAAAAGTGCTTTTCAGCACCTAATGCTTATCAACTACTTCAAATCAGCTAATCCAAACGGGCTCTTAATCATTCCTCTTTAGATGTCGCATTTAATTACGATTTATAAGTTGTATTTGACAATTGCTATTTATAAGCTAGCGTTCGGACATAAATTTGATTGAAACTTGAAAAACGAGTTTTTGAAGTTGTGTTTGGACAAGCATTTTATTTGAAAAAAAAGTTGAAGTTTTATGAGTGGAAGAAAAAATTCCACCCAAAAACTGTCCTAAATCAGTTTTTGGGAACTTGAAAATTTTTTAATTTATTTTTTTCAAACATAATCATATTTCATAAACAAATAATATTTTCAAAAAAAATTTGAAAAAAAATGAAAGACAAAATCTATGACCAAATGGGAGCTAAGTCCGGAGCGAATTACATAGTGCAAATTCAAACTTCAGCAATAAAATAAAAATTCATGTAGGACTATAAATACACTATTTTGTCGAAAAATATTAATATGTAGGCAAAATTAAGTGGAACATTTGTTACAAAAAATAGCTTAGTAACTTTATGCGATATTTAGGCAAAATACAGACTGTTTTCGCTTATGTTTTTCTATGTTAGTCCATCTCAAATAATTTCTAAATTTTAAATAGTGTTCGATAGTAAGACAAAGTTACTTCTGGAAAATATTTTCCATGCAAACCCATAATTACAGTGCCTTATTCGTTAAAATATTATTAACTCAGGACTAGAGTTTTTGTCACTACATAGAAAAATCACAGTTTAACATAATAATTATCGTCGGAAATAAATTAATGCTTTTATTTTTTTAAAAATCACATTTCAAAATCCAGCTCTTTAATAGATCAAGTAGCTCAAAAATCCAGACTAGATCTGGATCAGAAGTAACAGCACAATGTCACCAAGAATTACTTACCTTATACACAATAATATCACCACTTGCATCTAAATCAGTGCACATTATAAGTTGAGTGTTTTGAAGGTCTACGAGTAAATACTGAGTTCAGTTGAACCCATAGTCAATACACTCCATCCGTCTCAGCTTTAACTCGCCCAAAACGTCCTATGTATAAAGAAAATTCTACCTTAGTCTACCCCACCAAACACAAGTAATACACACTTTATTCACCTTATAACAAATCTTGACTCATCCTTCCCACAGTCTCTGTGTGGACTCTCTCATACACACAACCTAAGGTGAAATAGTTGCAGGTCTCAATGGAAAGAACCATGTCTGAGGCACCAAACAGCCCAAAGAAAGCCACTGATTGTAGTATCGCAGAGGACAACAAGAAGGCTCTTCGGTTCATTGAAGAGGTCACAACCAACGTTGACGAGGTCCAAAAGAGAGTTCTTGCTGAAATCCTCTCGAGGAATGCCAATGTTGAGTACTTGCAGCGTCATAATCTCAATGGTCACACTGATAGAGAGACATTCAAGAAAGTCATACCTGTCATCACCTACGAAGATATTCAGCAAGATATCAACCGTATAGCAAATGGTGATAAATCTCCAATCTTCAGCTCCCAACCCATCTCTGAATTCTTGACAAGGTTCGTCCTTTTTTTCTTCCCCATCTTAAATAGTGTACGGCTATAAAGTACACAATTCACACTCTGTGTCTCATTAAGCTTTTCTCCTTCTTGCATGCCAATCCTTTATCTTCCATTTTTGCTAGAAGGCAATTTTGCTGTGCAGTTCTGGGACGTCTGGAGGGGAGAGAAAACTGATGCCAACAATTCAGGAAGAGCTCGGGAGGAGATTACAGCTTCACGGCTTGATGATGTCTGTGATAAGTCAATTTGTTCCAGATTTGGAAAAGGGCAAAGGAATGTATTTCTTGTCCATAAAGTCTGAAGCCAAGACTCCAGGAGGATTACCAGCTCGCCCTGTTTTAACAAGTATTTACAAGAGTCCTTATTTCAGCAACAGGCGTCTTAGCCCCTACGCAAACTACACTAGTCCAGCTGAAACCATTCTCTGTCCAGACACTTACCAAAGCATGTATTCCCAAATGCTTTGTGGCCTCTGCCAAAACAAAGAAGTCCTCCGGCTCGGCTCGTACTTTGCTTCTGGCTTCATCCGTGCCATCCGGTTCCTAGAGAAGCACTGGTCTCTACTTTGCAACGATATCCGAATGGGAACCATTAACACCCAAATTACAGATCTGTCAGTGAGAGAGGCAGTGATGAAAATCCTCAAACCTGACCCAGAGTTGGCTGATTTTATTGAGGCTGAATGCAGTAAAGAATCATGGAAAGGGATCACTACTAGGTTGTGGCCTAATACCAAGTATGTGGATGTTATTGTAACCGGAAGCATGTCGCAGTATATACCAACCCTTGATTATTACAGCAATGGCCTCCCTCCTGTCTCTACCATGTATGCTTCCTCCGAATGCCCATTTGGAATCAACTTGAACCCCTTTTGTAAGCCCAGTGAAGTCTCTTACACACTCATTCCAACCATGGGCTATTTTGAGTTCTCACCAATTCACAGAAGCAATGAAGTCCCCAATTCTATCTCCATGTCCGAGTCGCCTAATGAGAAAGAACAGCAACAATTGGTCGATTTGGTTGATGTCAAGATTGGCCAGGAGTACGAGCTTGTTGTTACCACATATTCTGGTATTTTCAAGTGCCAAATAAGATGCTCTTGAATCATTTATTTTTTTCCATTTGTCTGACCGGGATGTCTGCTAATGCTTAGCTTTGCTTGGATTTGTGCCATTTCAGGACTCTACAGATACAGGGTGGGTGATGTGCTTCGGGTTGCTGGATACAAGAACAATACACCTCAGTTCACCTTCGTTTGTCGGGAAAATGTAATCTTGAGCATTGATTCCGACAAGACTGATGAAGTTGATCTACAAAATGCAGTGGAAAATGCAGTGTGCAATCTGATGCCATTCGATGCACATGTAACCGAGTACACCAGCTACGCTGATACTGCAACCATTCCTGGCCACTACGTCCTATTCTGGGAGCTCAGTATGAATGTCCCTACACCAATTCCTCCTTCAGTCTTTGAAGATTGTTGCCTCACAATTGAAGAATCTTTAGACAGCGTCTACCGCCAGGGGCGTGCATCTGACAAATCCATCGGGCCTCTGGAAATCAGGATAGTGGAAATTGGGACTTTCAACAAGCTCATGGACTACTGCGTTAGCTTAGGCGCTTCCATAGACCAATACAAGACACCTCGGTGCGTGAAATTTGCACCCCTTGTTGAGCTATTGAATTCGAGGGTCGTGTCCAGCCACTTCAGTCAAACATGTCCAAATTGGGTTCCTGGCCACAGGCAATGGAACAACATGAATTGAATGGCTAGCTTCAATTCCTTCTAGTGGTAGCTTCATTCCCAATGCAGAAAAGAACAACTATCTTTGTGGATTATTTTAGCAAAATAATAAAATCATCCTAGCTAAGTTAACTCCTCCCCCATTATCCCCGTGAGCAGGCAGCGTCTCACCAAGAAAGTTTCTTGAAGAGGCGTGCTGGTTCCTATCGATACATGTTCTTTATTTACAGATTCTGTATAAAGTAGATTGATCTACTAATTCTGCCATGTGGCCCTGTGGAATAAAAGGGAGAGATAGATAACAGACTGTTGACCAACTGAAAAGAATTTACACCATTAACAAAAATTATTTCAAATGAGTACAAATGGGAAATAAACTAGTAAATGTACTATGAATTTATATTCATGGACGCTCTATTAAGACCTTTCATATGGCAAGCTGAAAACAAAAATACACTTCACTTATTCGGCTTTAGCAAAACTAGAGATTCATAAGCTCTTCAACTGTAGGACGATACATGAAGCAAAAAAAAAAAAAAAAAAAAAAAAAAAAAAAAAAGAAGAATCAAGCAAAAGAGAAAAGTCGTAAACCCATTCTTAGCTTTTTCCTTATCCATGGAATAAATAATAACAGAACTCAAGCGTCGTCGCCTCTTTGCTTTGGCTATAGTCACAACTCTGTTAGAAGGGGAAGATTGTTACTTCATTTAATCATTTCATCTAATTTGCTTATCTTCGTCAGAAGTATTACTTGGTGGCTATAAATAAATAATAACAGAACTCAAGCGTCGTCGCCTCTTTGCTTTGGCTATAGTCACAACTCTGTTAGAAGGGGAAGATTGTTACTTCATTTCATCTAATTTGCTTATCTTCGTTCAGAAGTATTACTTGGTGGCTATCACAAATGCATAAACAATATACGTATTACTGCTATAAGGATTCTGTTTACCACAATTTTTTTTTAAAAATAATTCATCTTTAATTGAGTCTATCAGATGACAAATGTTTGTACAATTTTCACTATGTTGTCAGGATCCAATGTAGCATCAATCTTAAATACCCCTTCTGCTTCATCAATCTGAAGCAAATCCAGTTGGGTCTGCAAGAGATTTGCAGGCATGAAATGCTTACCCTCAGCTGCTCTCTTTTCCAGCCGAGCGGCAAGCACTTCAGCCCCAACATCCAGCAACACGAATTTAACAACACTTGCATAAGAACCTGGTTCGTAATTTGGGTCCGCAGATCTAAGGATTTCCCTGTACCGCTTTTGCAGAGCTGAGCAAGCCAGAATCGGCGCTTCGTTGTCAGCTAAGCCTCTTCTCAGCACATCTCGTAGTGTTTCAAGCCATGGAACGCGATCTTCATCGGCAAGAGGGATCCCATTCCGCATCTTCTCTGTTTGGTCATGTAAATCATCATTCAATGCACCCTTGGAAATATGTTCTTATATTGATCAGCTTATGATTAGATTTATGAACACATGATCATAATCCTTACCTTTGTTAGACTCGGAGTGATAATCATCGGCATCAAGAAAGCGGCCATTAACAGCTCTTCCAAGCATCTGACCAATTGTCCTGACCAGCATGCATAAGAATTAGTTAAAAGCAAAACTGAAAACACGAATAATTGGAACTTGAAAGTTAAATCATTCCACTGTCTATCAAATTGGAATAACAAAATATAAACAAGCCTCAAGTTCTTTGAGAAAAGGTTCTCTAGGAAGGGTAAACCATTGAGTATCATGTTATACATTAACCTGATCCAAGTCATATTTCCCTTTAATTGATCCGAGAGACTGAAAAAGAAGATATATGCTAAGCTAAGAGGTATTCTGCTTCTACACTCTGAAGTTCTTTGTTAAGGTCTAGCTTGAATCCCCACACAGTTTAAAATCAATGACCTCCACAGCTCTTTTGGTTAACTGAGGGATATGCAACGACAGGAAGCAGCAAGAAACTAACTTAATAAGGTACTTAAAACCTTACGATTTTCCAGCTCCGCTAACACCCATAAGCACAATAGCTTTTCCTGTGAGATAAGACATTACACGCAAGAGGAAAACTATTCATCACACCATCCATAACAAATGAAAAAGGAAAGAAGAACCAGATGGAAAGTGAATACAACCTTTCTTGTCAGATGCCATTTCTGGAAAACCTATTATACAATTGCAAGTGCTTGATGTCGAAAGCATTAGATGATTAACCCCTTGAGATATTGCAAGGTTCTAAGCATCAGCCCGATCCTAAAACACGGGAAATGCCAACGGTATAACAAGAATTAAGACACAGTTAATATCAATAGCTTATGTATAGACACAGTTAACGACAATATCAAGTAGCAAGTCAAAATCACAACACAGCTCTCTAGAATATTTTGAGTCTGATCTTTCCAGGAAAGGAGAATAAAAGTAGCATGTTTTCTAGCCAACGTGCCAAGATAGTAGAAACAATTGGAAAAAGGATAGAAATCCGTTTCCACACTAAGGATTTCATGATTGTACTCCTCCTCTGTAAGTCACAAAAGCCTTGTTGATGAAGGTTGGAACAAGATAACTTATGCAACAAATGTTTGTCTTAGTTTGAATCAAGGGTAGTAGTTGGCCAATCAATTCCTAGAAGGGGAGCCTTGACGCAATGGTAAAAGTTGCGGCCATGTGACTAGAAGGTCATGTATGCAAGCCGCGCAAACAGCCTCAAACGCAAAGCAAGGCTACCCAATGTGGTATGTCCCTTCTCCGGAGCCCACGTATAGCCGGAGCTTAATGCACTGGGCTGCCAGGGACGGAACAAAGGGGGTGGAATGGGGTTCTATCATAGAAAAATTACACTGTATATACAAGGTCAAAATTATTTTTTATGTATATAAAGGATGTTGAATCACCTTGACACAACCCAAGAGCTCTTTGTGCGTTTATTTCTTTATACTTTGCTAGTCTAATATTGTGTTTTCAAATTGATAAGCCAAATATAAACCTACTCTTCAAAAGTACTTTCAGAAAAAGCACATTTTGGAAGCTTAGCTAAACATGCTATGAGATCCCTGGCTCCGCCATTGCAGGCTCCCCCCCCCCCCCCCCCCCAAAAAAAAAAAAAAAGAAAACCAATTCCTAGTGCCATGCTAATAATAATTTAGTTTTATGACCTGGGGCAGTCCAAAGCTTCGAGCTTTACCAAAATTTGCATTGTTTCAACTTGAATGATAAATATAATTATGAATATTCCATCTTTTCAAAAATTGATTAACATTCAACTAATTTACATGTTAACTGTAAGATTCACAAGCTAATAATACAAATTGGATTTGATGCTTTGTTTATGCAGGAGAGTTAACAAAAAGAAATGAAAAAGAAAGGTTCACAATTTGTTTTTACCAATACCGAAAAGAGAGTACAAGTGAAAAAGATGAGCTTACCAACTGGATTTTGCCGGAGAAAGGAATGGACGGCGATTGGTTCGCCGGAGAAAGAGAAGGACAGAAGCAAGATCACGTCTTTCGCCGTCAAAGAAAGCCGAATTAGCGACTCTATTTCTAGTTCAAACAATCGCAATTGCTGATGCGACTTATAAAATCGTATTTATGAAATACGACTTATTACGACTTTTTAAGTGTCTCGATATTTGACTCAATTTTGGATACATTCATTGTGTTTTAAAATTAGCCACTTACACATTCTATATTATAAAAAAAAATTATACTTAAACCCCTAAGAATTATATCTCACTATCTCTAATTGACTATGAAAATCTTGGAGTAAAGTTGTCTCGGTGTAATCTATAGGTCACGAGTTACACCCGTGAAACCAGTCACTAATGATTGCATTAGGGTAGGTTGTTTACATCACACCCCTTGGGTGCGGTTGTTCTCGGGCTCTGTGCGAACGCAAAATGCCTTCTGCGCCGTGCTATGCTTTTTATCTCTAGCTAAGTATATTAAAATATGATTATTAAAAGACAAATTAAATTTAAAATAAAAATTCTTTATGTAGTTCAATTTTTAGATCCTAATCAGACAACAAAATAACCTCTCTTTTTCCGTATCAAATTTGATCCAAAAATAGCTTTAATGTGAAACTGGTATTGCTCTAGTAACTAGTAACCTATAGCAGACCAGATTCAACTTAGATTAGGTTTCCCTGTATAAAGTCAGACATCTCTATAACAGCATCTCTGTATTACAATCATTTACTATAAAAGCCAAATTTTTTCGGAACCGATTTTTATGTTATGTTATAAGATATGTTCTTTATAACAGCACCTCCCTATAGCAACCAAAAAATATCGGAACAAACGAAACTGTTATAGAGATATTTGAGTTAAAATATCATGGTATAGCCAGTTTTCACACTGGTCAATGAAAAATAGCCAGCGTTTATCAAGTCAATGAAAAATAGCCACTATTTTGCTGCAACAGGGATCGGTCCAGTATAATATACGGGAGTTCTGGTGCATTTGTGTACGAACTCCAGCATATTATGCTGGACCGGTATACTTTGCTAACTCCTATAAAATTTGCGGGAGATTGGAGCACCAGTGCTCCAAACTCCAGTATATTATACTGGACAATTATACTTGCTGGAACTCCCGTAAAATTTGCGGGAGTTCCAGCATAATTATGCTTGAACTCCCGTAAAATTTACGGGACTTCCAGCATAGTTATCCTGGAACTCCCGTAAAATTTACGGGAGTTCAAGCATACTTATGCTGGAACTCCCGTAAAATTTGCGGGCGTATTTTTTCGGATTTTGAACAGTGTTTTCGCT